TATTGTAAAACAATATAAAAAAAGCCTTTATCAATTGTGTAACGATCTACAAATTGATGGGACGGTCGCCCCTGTAGTTTTGCCTACTTTTATGAGAAATTTTGGAAGAGCAGCGAGAAGGCAGAGAAAAGAGACGAAACTACTTTGTTTTGTTTAATAAAAGAGTATGTATTTTTTTTACTTAACACACTGAATTCATAGGAAGGCGCTGGTACTCTCCTTATTTTTTCAGATAAGTGATAAACTCTGGGTTTGTTGGCAAATAGCATATGAGAACTACTTCTAAACAACAAGTGCTTGGCTCCTATGGTGAGTAATAAACTCTAAGAAAGTTAGTAGGTAGCATATGAAAACTACCTCTAAATAACAACTGCTGAGTTACAGAGCTTAAAGACTACTTCCCAGACTGTTTCTACCTTTACAGACGCTTGTATTTTTTAAGAATTTTGGATTTTTGAAGAAAAAAATAATCATTAGGAAAAGTTTTTGAGAATATTTTTTTGTGATATATTATTATTGTAATTATAATAAAACATTGTCTATACTTTAATAAAAGATTCTTCAAACCAATAAGGTCACCTTAATACAAAAAAAAAAAATAAAAAAATAAATTTATTAGCACTTTTATTAATAGTATTAGTTATTGATTTCAAACTGAGAACTAAAAATTATTTAGTTCTTAGTCTTTTACTATCCAATCTCAGTCTTTATGAAAACTGATCCATTCTAGGGTTAATATTAGTATTCAGATTAGGGTTAGATAAAATTGTGAGATCATTTTTTGTTAGTTACACAACAAAGGTTACTCTAGTAAAATTTTAAGATATATAGTAGGAGTGCAATAAAAAATAAACTCTTTTAAATAAAATTATACAGTATCTATAAACTATAGTATTATATATTATACCAAACTACGTATTTGCTTTTTACTATAAAATAAATACAATATATACACTTTATAGTATATATATATATATATATTATATATATAGTTAACTAACAAACTCAAATTTTCTAAATTTTAATATTAGTTCGGTATAACAGGAGCTACGGCTATTAGTAATTCTATATAACGAACCTTTTTTTTTAGCCAGAACCGAGGGTTCGGTATAGAAAGAGTAGACTGTATATTGTACTAGATAATCTTGTTACTTTGCTATATTTTGGTTAATAACAATAATCAATTTACAGTATAATACTATTAATTATTTTTTATATAATATACAGTATTTGTTATTATATATTATTGATTAAACCCATTTTGTTAATCTTATATATGCATTTTAATGGTATGATAAACAAAATTTGTTTAACTATACAAACTAAAAAAGCTTTCTTTGCTAGTTAAACGTATATTTATAGATAATTTACATTCATGTGATTTTTTGTACTCCACGTACCTACCTCTTGTCTTATGTACGTGATGTACGTGTCACATCATCAAGAAAAATTCGCGACCAATCGGTAAAGATACCACTTTTGACATAGAAAATTTTCTCCCGAAGGCGTTGTGCACTTTACCGTCACTGGGTTGTCATGCTTAAGACTTGCTGGTGGGCGTTCTCATTGTTTGTTCCTTCGCACAACCTGTCCCGTCTTTCTTTTTGCGTCTGCGTGTGAATTCTGTGGATCGATGTAATAGAATCGAGTTCCCAGACCATAAAACCCTAGAAGAAAAAAATTGAATAAAATATATAACACAAATTATGAAAAATCCTGTCAAATTATTATAGGTCAGAAAAAAATAAAGGGCTGATTTTTTTTGTTCAAATAAAAAATTTCGAGGTTTTTTTCCTTAAAAAAACTTCCTTCATAATAAACCCACTGCAAATGGAAAACAGCAATGTGTCTTTAGTTGAAGATACTCATCACAAGTCACCGTCCATTCAACAGACGACAAGAACGTCTCATACCACCTCAGAACTTGTGCATTCACAAGCGGTGAACCTTTCCATGCCGCCCGGCGGGCCGACTCATCCATTTGGTTCTCTTATACACCCAACTCCTACTTCTACTCCACCACCTCTACCTTCTATACAACAATTGCAACAAGCAAGCATTCAACAACAGCCGATAACGTTTGTATTCGAACGGTTTTGTTCTGGTGTGCCGACACCTCTCTCTATGCACACACCTTTACCATCGCCGAAGCCTATTGTAAGGTCAGACGACGACGCGCTAGTAGATGCCACTGATAATAGACCACAACGAAATCTTACCATCAAAATAACTCAAAATAATGACACTGTAAAAAAAAACCGAAGAAAGAGGAAGCATAATTCATATGGAACTCCTATAGATTCTCCCATTTCGTTAAATAGGGACGAGGATTCAAAGTCAGAGTCGGAATACGGTGACAACTTATTAACCGAGTACGCTAATAGAAGTGAGGCATTCTCGGTGTGTCATTCCTCTACTCTCTTCCGTTTATAATTATTCTTTCTCGTTTACATTATTCTTTCTTTCATATATTGTTTTTTTTATGTCGACATTGACATTTCGTGGCGCAGAAAATCAAAAACTTATTCGTATATTTTATTTACATTTAATAGGATTACGATACGGAAGATTCGTCAATGATAACGCCGGTGGATGCATTAAAGAGATTGTTAATGCAATTCACCGCCATGTCTCCTATGAGACTTGAATCTATATTACCTGTGCTTTTAGATAACGACATAGATGACCCTGATATTCTTCTCTTAATTGAAAACGAACAATTTCTTCGCGATCTTCGTGGTAAAAATGGGTCTGAGATTAGTAGGGGTAATTGCTTGTTACTTTGGCATGGTATTCAAGAACATCGAAATAACTATTCTATCGTTCACACGCCAAAATCATTTTCATCATGCGCTTCATCATCATCTTATTCCCCGCCACCTTCCCGAGCAAGTGCCGACCAAATTATTACACCACTTACTCAACCAAAATCAAAAAAACCAAAGCTAGACCTCATTGAAAGAGAAAACAACGCTTTACCATCTTTACAAGATCAACGTCATCAAAATCTTGACATTACTCATTATAGTAACAAACAAAGAGTGAAAGCACCAAAACTCAGTATGTCTACAATAGAAGAAGTTCACACCCGAGTGGATTGTGTACTATCCGTTGTGGCAGCTGAAAACGAACGTCGAAAGCAAATTGCACATTCTCGTAATAGTTCAGCTAAGCCCACAGTCAAATTTGAAGATTTCGTAGCTGAACTTAAACAGACACATAAAATTCCAGTAGCTTTTGGCACTTTGCGTGACATGCGGTTTGCATATATGCTCAAAAAACTTGATAGGCGTATGTACGCGGATACGCTGGCAAACAATAGAAGTAATGTCACTGAATTTTATAGAAGATGTCAAGAGGTATGCGAGGAAAACTTTAAAGATGAAGAGTTAGAAGCTGCCTTACCTTGGTTGAATCTCAAAGCGAAAATGTACTATAAATAGTATATTTTTTTTTTTTTTTTTTACATCAAAATAATATATATTACAGTATTATTTAGGCATTAACATCATTATGATAGTGGAAAACGAAAACCGCAAAATTATTATATATATATTTTTTTTAGTAGAAAATTTTTGCTTTTTTTAAAAAAAAAAAAGGACGATTCAAAAGTATATTTTAGCAGTTGTAAATATAACAAAAAATATCACAAAAAAAAAGAAAAAAAAAAAAAACAAAACAAAAAATAGCATATATATATATATATATCTATTATATCAGAGAAAAAGATTTATGAAGGAATAACGATGCTGTATACTTTTTCTGTAGGATGAAATCAATCTTGAAAAAGAACGCGTTGTTAGTATTCACACGCGATAACTTTTTGTATTAAGATGTGTTGTCTTTACGAGTGTTTAGGCTTGAAAGGCAAAATTTATCAGTTTAACAACGATTATATAATCTTTATTAAGGGAAAGATTGAAATATAAAATTTAGTTCTTTATGCTATAAATTTTGATAATTTAAAATTAGGCAATTTCGATTATAGCTACCCGATTAAATCGGAGATCAGTACGTTTAGGAAATAGCATGATGATTAACAAGATTCAACGTATCCAATTAAAATTTTCGAAAAATAAAACACGTGATGTGACCTGAAACAGGATGTGACGGATGATATTTACGCGACATGTTACCGTTTAGCACAGTTGGAGCGCCGGATATTTTAAATTGGTAATATTCGTGTTTCAGCAGTTTCATTGGCGGAGAAAAGGTGTATCTTTATGATACAGAAGCTGTGCTAAACGGTATTAACGTTATTGACAATATAACATATATGTATTAAGTAGTATTCGTTTTAATTAGCATACAATCACGTGGTGAGGAAACAATCATGAATACAACAATGATGATAATTGTTCATTTCAACAATATCCGAATAGCTTATATGTATGTTTAATTAATCAGTCAATCAATCAATTAACAAATAAATATAGTATCAATCAATCTTGCCGTCATCATTTGCGTGCCGAATTTGCATTCTTTTTATAGTCCATGTTACCCAAGCGCATCCCATCAGAGCAAAAAATATTGACCACCGTTCAACAAATTTTAAGTGGTCTAACTGTCCGACAGGTATCTTAACAGCTTCGCTAGGCCAAATGTTCCGATGAAGAAATTCTTTTGGGGGGAGAATGTATTTAAACTCAGTAGTTGGCGAAAATAGAAGAGATAACGGAAGTGGTGTTGGTGCAAATAACGGAGCTAATAGTTTAATAAATACAAAATTATTATAATTGGTTCTGAAACAAATACTAACTACTGTAAAATAAATAGTTTTAATAAAACCTCGTCCGTTATCACATGCATATACAATTAAAGGCCACGGAGCCGAAGCAACAACATGGCTTCTTTGCGAACCTTCAGAGTTTGCTGGTTGATATCGCATACGAAATGGCAAACTGAATTCAAATCTATCATCCTTCAGTTCTACAGGATGTCCTTTGGCTAAAACTACACTACCCCATTTTAATGAGGTAACTCCAACAGGATTTTCTAAATCTGTTTCTCCAAAAACTTGTACATTATCAGAAAAAAGCTCATCAATTTGGTAGGTATCTACTAAAAAAGAATTAGGAAATAGGTGAAGGATATAAAATTCACAATTGGGTTGGGAGGCGGGCAAAGTTACCGATGTCTTGAATGACTGATGAAAGCCTTGAGCCGGTATGATGCTCGAATTGAAATAAGACAAATTTGATAAAAGAACCCGAGGTAAGACGGTTATCATCGTTGGAACTAAATCAATCAGCAAATAAGAAACTGTGTGTGTTAAATCGAGCATAATCTTATATTTTATAATTACAAAGACTTATGTACCTGGATTATTATCATTTTCATCTATTATAATCCTTTCTCCGATAAATTTCCCAGAACCAAGTTGTGGTCCAAACACTCCCAATTCCACTTTATCTTGTTCATTTTCTTTAATAATATATATATCTTGATTTCTACAATTCCATACCATCCTCAAGTCAGTGATAATTTGATTTGTTTTTTCGTCAAACCTCAAATCAAAGTCTAAGATTGAAGGTCTGTTGTATTCTTTAAAGTATACATTCTTTCCTAATATAGAAGTTTGTGTAGGTAACTGATGATAGAGTGGAAGAGAAGAATGTAGATATATATGTCCATCCGGAAGCAACGTCGAATGTAAAATATCTAAGTTATACTTTATAATCGTATATATAATATATAAGTTTTCTAAGAATTCAACATCCATACCAATTGTTCGTATATATAAAAAGTACCAACCATTTTCTGTAGAGATTGTCCACTATCACAAATAATACTGCCAAATAATGCGTCGAGATATTTACATATAGTTACAAATTCTGCCTTTTCATAATCTAGCCTATAAATATCGTATTACTAAATTTGTCTATTACTAAATAGAACGTGAATTTAAATCAATTAAATAATTAATTTCAAGATATACCTTTGAGAAAAAGTTTCATTGTCAAAAGATATTCCAACATGAATACCAGAAGTTGGCACAATATCAAAAGGGTTTGGTAGGCCTTGGCTTCCAGACGCGATCTGAACACGTACTTTCCAATCCTTATTCCAAACTGGAAGAGTCCGGTAGCTTGTCTAGTGTGTAAGATTTAAAGGTACACGTTGAACAAAAAGAAGAGAAAAAAAAAGGCGAAAATTTTAAATTTGAAAAAGCAACTAATACCACCTTAAAAAGATCTTCGAGTGGAGTCAAGACTTTCCATTCTCGAACACCGGTAAAATTCTTCACGCGAATTTTTCTCGGTGCCAAGCTCTGAATAGGTTCTTCTGCAAACGAAGATAATACATTTTTATCAAAAAAAAAGGTATGACGGTGCCTTGAATATGCTGAAACAGTATATATCGAAAATGATAACGCAAATACAACGAAAAGTTGAAGTAAACTGGAATACATCAGCAGTTTTCTTATAGCGTGTTTTTTTGAAAAGATTTATGTACGCACGTACGATAAAAAGTCATATGATCTACATATGAAGAAATAGACTTCTGAATAAATTCTATATTGTTAAATGAGATTCTACATTAAGTTTTTATAGGTAACTAAAAAAATTAGAGTTATCTATTATCATATCGGCTGATTTTGATAAGGAAAACCAATCTCCCTTGCGTCAATTATATACAGTATATAATATTAGGCTATACAAACTTAACATACTTTTCAAATTATTTTTATCCCTCTATCACGAAGAAATCTGAAAAATCCGACACCTTTTTATGAATAAATCTAATTATGTCCAGAAATAAAATTTTCAAGATTCCCCATTATAATTCGATTCCCCAGTTTATCACTAGTAGCTGGTAGTACACTGGAACTGGTAGTTAAAATAATACTAACAAAAAAAAAATAGAAATTTTGATATTATTTTGTCAAATTACCATTTACTAGATACAATACTGGAGAATCGAAATATGATGAGAAATTTTATCTTTATAGATATTGCATGGTGGACGATCATCACCAGTCATACAGTAGCAATTTTAAAGCGCGACACGTATAATGAATCGGTTTTTATAACCCAATTCTGCAACGTTTTGAAAAAAATTTTGACTATATTTACTATCCGGGTGGATTTTTTAGATACCTATAAAAAATTTTTGTCGCAGCTGATGCTAAAAACGGCCGATGCACTATTTTACTGTAATAGCTCGATTAGTTTAGGGTGTGCTATTTATTATACACAAAATGGCTAATTGACCAATCAGATTCAAGAATATATATATAATACAGTAGAATAAATCTATAACCAGTGGTGATTATTACCAGAGTTAAAATGTACTAAGTAAACAGAATTAGATACTCTAAGAAGGCATCTATATTTAATGGATATGATTTCACTATACTACCAGTAGTATATTGTATTCATTGTAATACTTTTTAAAGACAAATTTCTAGTAATTTAAAAAATAAACTATCTTTTTAGGAAAAATGTGTTTGTCACCATAGGTGACAGTTACCGGTGCCAAATTAGGGGTTAATTCCCTTAATTCATCATCAAGTACTGGTTGTTTTTTTTTTAATTAAAAAAAATATTTATTTACTAATTGGTTTTTTTTTTTTAAACTTGTAGGCTTCACCAATAAGTGAGTTAGCATCAGGCAAATACTAAAGTGACATTGCAGATAAGATATTCAGATTTCTTTGCTTTTTTTGCTCTTTTTACTTTTTTTTTTTTTTAATAACTAATTCTGTTTTTCTTTTTTAGGCTTCATCAAATACTGGCAAATATGTATGTAGCATTTTTGGATAAGATATAAATTTTTTTTGTTTTTTATCTTTTTGTCTTGTTACTAGCTTTAGTTTTTTTTCTTGGAGATTTTATAGGCTTCACTAGTCATAAATGGCATTGGATAAATGTGTTTGTAGCATTTTTGAGTAAATATTAAAATTTTTTGTTTTTTATTTTTTTTGTCACATTAGTCTTGTTACTAACTTCTCATTTTTTCTTTGGGGTTTTAGGCTTTGCCTAATATGAATCAGCTCTAAATAAACATGTATGTAGCATTTTTGAGTAAGATATTAATTTTTTGTTTTGTTAGTTTTTCACTAACTTCAAAGTTTTTAGGCTTTGCCAGATGTAAATCAGCACCAAGAAAATATGTATGCAGCAATTTTTGAGTAAATTTTTAAATTTTCTTTGTTTTTTGTTTTTTTTGTCTAGTTAGTTTTGTTACTAACTTTGTTTTATTTAGAGATTTTTAGACTTCACCAAACATGAATTGGTACTGGAAAAATGTGTATATAGTGTTTTTAAATAAGGTATAAATTTTTTTTTTTTTGTTTTTCGACTTGCTGTCTTGTTACTAACTTCTGTTTTCTTTCTTAAAGTTTTCATTTTTTGTTTCATTAGTTTTTTACTAACTGCTTTTTTCTTTCTTGGGTTTTTAAACTTTACTAGACATGAATCAGTATTGAGAAAATGGGTATGTGGTATTTTTGTATAAGGTTTTAAATTTTTTTCTTTGTTTTTTGTTTTTTTCATCTTGTTAGTTTTGTTACTAACTTTGTTTTTCTTTCTTGAAAAGTTTTTAGACTTCACCAAACATGAATTAGCACTAGAAAAATAAATGTATAGCATTTTTAAATAAAGTTTTAAAACTTCTTCCTTGTTTTTTATTTTTTCATCTTGTTAGTTTTGTTACTAACTTCGTTTTCTTTTTTAAAGATTTTTGGCTTTGCCAAACATGAATTAGCACCAAAAAAATATATACAGCATTTTTAGATAAAGTATTATATTTTCCTCTTTGTTTTTCATTTTTTGTCTGTTAACTTTGCTAATAATTTCATTTTTCATTTTTGAGATTTTTAGGCTTTACCAAATATGAATTAGTATCAGACAAGTGTGTATACAGTATTTTTTAATAAGATTTTAAATTTTTTTTTGTTTTTCATTTTTTTTATTTTGTTAGTCTTGTTGTTAACTTTGTTTTTTTTAAAAAGATTTTTAGACCTTGTCAAACATAAATCAGTACCAAGAAAACATAAATGCAGTATTTTTGGATAAATTATAAAAATTTATTTTGTTTTTTATCTTTTTGTCTTGTTACTAACTTCATTTTTTTTGGGGAGTTTTTAGGCTTTGCTAGTTAGAAATTGGCACTGGGCAAACATATGTACAGTATTTTAGTTAAGTATTTAATTTTCTGTTTTTTATTTTGTCTTTTATTTTTGTTTTAACTTTATTTTTCATTTTTTTTCTTAGGTTTTTAGTTTTCGCCAAACATAAACTAGCACTGGTTTTCTTTTTTTTTATAGTAGGGTTGTGTGAAATTAATATAAGTCTGATTATTATAATATAATATCATCAGCAAAAATAAATAGACATAAACCTCTACAAGTTTTTACACGAGTATAAACTTACAAAAATTTATAATTAGTTCAGAGTATTATGTAGGTGTAAATAATTACAAAAGTTTATGCTATAGTAACTTCGGAATATTATAAAGATATAATAATTATAAACATTTATAGTATAGTAAATTTAAATATAGCGAAATGTAAATAGTTAAAAACTAGCGAAAACTAGTGAAAACATGTATAAAACTATAAGTATTTACAAACAACATACCAAAATCATACGAAAATATGCGAAAATTTATATAAATTAATATGATATTACATACAAGAAAACATCAAAAAAGAAGCAAAAATATAAATTATAAATTGAAAAAATGAATAATATAAAATATTAAAATAAATTTACTAAAAATATAATAATTTTATTGTTTTCATAAATATATGAAAAAGATATAATAGTTTAGTAGTAATATATTTATTTAAAAAATTGTATACAAATATATTCTAAGTAATTATATAATATATAATTTTTTTGATGCAAATTAAAAATTCATATAATCAACAAGTCGAAGAATATTGAAAGAAAAAGAATATATATGAAAAAAGTTGAAGTTTAATTCAATAAGCCAAAAGAAACTACTTGTTAATTGACAAAACCTAATAAATAAATAAAAAAATAAAAAAATTAACATATATATACACATAAATTAATAATTATTAAAGTATTTAAAAAATTAAAAGTATTTTGAAAAACTACAGAAAGTTTAATAGATTTGCAAAATAAGTAGTAAAAATAAAGATAAATCAAATATACATACATACTTTAATAAATAATGATGAAATCAATCAAGCTCTATAAAAATAATATATAATAAATAAATTAATAAAAATTTATAACATTTTACAAAAAAATTAATAATTTTCAAAAGTTGTCAAAGTAATCTTTCTAAAAGTAGTAGAGTACTGCAATTTTTTCACAATTTTTTGAATATAGCTATAACTATATAGAATATAAAAAACAATTTAAGAAATTAAAAAAAATGTGAAACTTCAAGAAATAACCAAATTATGCTATAAAGAAAACTTCTATACTTAAAAATAATATTTATTTTAATAAATTACATATTAGAACCTAAAAACATAATAATAAAACTAAATAAAAAGTTTTAATAAATAAACAAACAAAAAAAGTTTCAAATATTATAAAATATATTTCTTGAAGACAAAGACCTTTATATATTTTTAAAATATTTCCAAAACCTTTGTATATAAGAACTAAATAAAAGGTTTTAGTAAGTAAACAAACAAAAAAAAATTTCAAATATTATAAAGACCTTCATATACTTTTAAAAATATTTCGAAAACCTTCATATATTATAAATTAATAAAGTCTTAGTAAACAAAAAAAGTTTTTAATATCTTCAAAAATTTTTTATTTGGCTATAAAGTATGCAAAGTCTTTTGTTAATTAAATTATTTTTGAAAAGTTGTATAAAATGAAGCAAATAAAAAGTTTTAGAAAGGTATCAAAAATATTTATTAAAAAAAAAAGTTTTTCAAAGTTTATCATATATAATTGTAGTAATGTAAATAAAGTTGAAAAAAAATATGATCATTGTTTAAATAAAGAATTTTTTTGATAATTACGTGTTTAACCACATTTATTTTATTATAAAAACATTCGTAAATTATAAAATATATTTAAAAAATTTTAAAAAATTTTAAAATATGTATAATACTATGCTATCTCAGTTTATTCTTCTCATGTTTTTGACTTTTCATTATTATCTTTTTTAGCAGTTTTTCTTATTAGTTTTTTTGGTAGTTTTTTTAATTTAACTGCACTTGTTGTAGCAGTTTTATGAACAACTTTAACTTTTTTTTGTTTTTTTTAACTTGTCAAATTTTTATAATTTTTATAATTAAATTAATTAATAAAGTTAATTTATATAAAAGTAAAAATATTGTTAAATTATTATATAGAATTTAGAACTTATACCTGATTCTTTACCAGTTTCATCTTTGATAACTTGCATAACACTTTGTTTTTTAGAAGACTATAAAAATTGTATATAAAATATTAGTTATAAATTAATTTTTATTATAGTAATAAATTATAATAATTACTCTTGTTTCATAACAAATATCAGCCTCTTGTGCAGTTTTTTCTTGTAGCACACCTTTCTGAATATTTGATTTTGCTAGTGCACCTTTATTTTGTATATCTGATATTGCCAGTACAACTTTACTCTGTATATCTGATGTTGCTAGCACAACTTTATTTTGAATATTAGCAATTTCCAAAATATCGCTAGTTTTTGTGGTCTAAAAATTTATGTGTAAATTAGTTATAAAATAAATATTAATGTAATATTAAATTAAAATAATTATTATATTTCAGAAACTGCAAGTTTAGAGGTTGGGATAGGTGTAGCTTTGGTTGTTTTAGGAGTTGGTGCAGGTAGAGGCTGTTTAGAAGTTGGGGCAGATAGAGGCTGATTATAATCTTGTGAATTATTTTGTGGACTTTTGGTTGTGCTATTACTATTGCTGCTGCTGCTGCTACTACCATCACTTTTGCTGTTACTGCTACTGCTACTGCTGCTGCTATTACTACTACAGTCAAACCTCTATAAATGCAATGTATACAAACTAGCTTCAATCATGTATT